CCCCCCCCCCCCCCCCCCGTTGTCATTTGGCATCCACGTGTGTTCTGTGCAGAACTTCATTTGGGAACATTCTATAGCTGAGAAAGCTTAAGGCAGCAACCCTATCCTACTCCAAATGAACATGGCCATGAAGTATGGGTACTGCATCCCCACTCAGATCGACAGCCCGAAGGAGCCAAGAGGTACCAAGAGAATCAGCATCTGCGGAGAAAGTAAATTATTTGACCGCACAGCTGAATATTCAACAAACCATAGTTAGAGGTTAGCAACTTATTTTTCCTGGTCTCTATATCACAAAGATGGGTGAAATAGCTAGGTCACTTAACAGCAATGGGAAAGGTGCACCATAAAAGTAGGAAAACAATTCCATTGCATCAGCAATAAATCAAATGGATCCTAAAATATGGGCTGCCATGTTAGTTGATAAACATATAACTGCAATTTTATCCAATACAATTTAAAGAGTTTTATGGGGGAAAATAATCTTGAAAGCACACAAATATTTAGGACTGTCAGAAGTTCCAGTGTGCTGAGGTGAATACTTCCCAAACTATTGATATATACTACATAGTAAACAAACAGGAATGTTTCCAAGGGAGTAGTGGAAGAGATTAAAAGAACCAAAAAGATAAAATCTCTCCAGAAAGTTAGGATGAGTGAAAGCTGTTAACAGAAACTACCAGAATGCATATAATATGTTAAGAACAGTATTCTGCAGTCCAAGAAGCCACTTCTATGATGAACAAAAATGTCAAAAAAACTTTAAAAGAAAATAAGCCTTCTGTTATAACAAAAAAGGAATGTACATTTCCATTCAAGAAATGGGAGCAGATCAGGAATTATAAAAATGATTTGGAGGAACATTATCAGCAACACCATTACAATCTGTATACAGGCACATACATTAGAAAAGAGGGCAGTAACTGGCTAGGGAAAAGGCTGAACAATTAAATGACAAGAGAATCAAGCAGGTCCAGAAAAATGCAGAGCTGAATTACATTCCTGCATCTACGTTCACAAAAGATGCTACATGGCACATACCACCTTTTTCAAAAGAGCTAAAGCAAACAGCAGTGTCAGGGGATGAAATACTGGATACAAAACAGCTAACACTGTAAGCTGTTTGTACACAGTAGTTCAATCTAACCCAAATATACAGTGAAAATCTACAACCTGCAGCGTTAAACAGGGAAAATGGTTTGCCATGTGGAAGGAACTACAAAAGCTCCTTGAGGCATCTACTCCCTATGCATGGCTTTTCAGAGATGCTTCTGCATGCAGACTGGTTACCAGTCATTGCTACATCAGCAGGATTTTTTTCACTGCCTGAAATAGACGTACGTTTGGTATAAAACGCAAATCTGCGATTAGAAGCCTGTGCTCGTCTTTTAGCTTCAATGACATAAAGTAGCTGGGGGGGCTTTGGTCACCTTCTGGTAAGTAGGTGCTCCTTGCCTAGCTGCCTGAAATGTTAATCCCAATAATCCAGTGCATTCACAAAAGAGATCATAGCCAGTAAATTCAGCTTTTGTAGAAAGAAGCACGAATGTTCCCTGCTAGAGCAAGGTTAGTAGCAGATAACACAGTAGTTATTATGGAACAATTCTGCTTCCTCTAATTTCATCTAAAAGTCATTATTCCCTTTTGTGTAAGTCAAGCTTTTAAGTCCTTCCTTTCTCATCTTCAATAAAGCTATAGTCTTATTAATTAGAGTTGCTTCACCAACCATGACTGAGTGAACGCAGGATTACGGATTACCTGATACCCTTGAAAACGGCATTCTGACAGACACAGATTGAAACTAGTCTTGTTTATGCACCCAACTTGGATAAGATAGGTTATGATAGGTTCCTGTATAAAGTATGCTATGTACAGTACAACAATCCATGACACCAGAAGAAAATCTTCAGATATGAGAACCAAACATGCTTTCCAAAAGCAAAATAGGCATGAATTAATAGCATTGGGGGGATTTTAATTGCCCTGATTCTGAAGGGAGAAAAGTTCTGCCAAACATGATCTTGCCAGGAATTCCTGTGTTACTATTTTCACCTTCAGACAGTTGAGGAATCACAAGGGCATCAACTGACTTTATCCTAGCCAATAAGACTTAATCGATGAAGTGGAAATAGAAGGAACATTGGGGGGAAACTGACAAGGTAATAATGCTGGACTCCTTGATTTTAAGGGAAATGCAAGCAGGCTTAAGACCAACATGTATCTTTTTTTTTCTAAATAATGTTAATAAAACCAGAGCAATGACAAGTAGAATTTTATGGCAGGGAATGATGGGGGAAAGGAGCTCAAGAAAGGCAGGAATTCCCAAAAAAGGAGTTCCTAAGAAAGCAGATATTAAAGCATAATTACAAACAATTCCAGAAGGAAAAAAAAAAAGCAAGGCAGAAGAAGCCAATGTGGCTGCACAAAAACCTTAGCAATAATTTCAGAGGGAAAAAAAAGACACATACAGGAAGTGAAAAGAGGCCCAGGTCATTAAGGAAAAATACTTATAGATGTCCTGGAACCTAAAGATGGTGTCAGGAAAGCTAACCCTCAGAATGAACCAAAGTTGCCAAAGAAGCTTAAGAATAATAAAAAGGACACAAACAGAATAAGGGGTAGGATCAAAGCTTGGAATTCCATGGTCAGTGAATACTTGTTTCCTATGAGTTTCCAGGCCACAGCAATTGCATTCTAGAATGCCGAAGGAGCTTGCTGATGGTCTGGCCAAATCACAATCATTAACGCAGAGAAAGCCTAATGAACTAATCTTACCAATTTTTCAAGAACTAGCTAACCTTCTTAATGTATCCTAGGAGTGCTGTAGACATAACATATCTTAAGTTTAGTAAACACCTGACAGAGTATAATAAAATATAGCATCCCATTTAAAAAGCTAGTTAAATGTGGGGTGGATGCCAATAACAAGTAGATATATTGATGGCTCAAAAATGGTATGCATGGAGTGAGGCATTGAGTAGATGCTGTAACATTCAGCCCTGGACCCCTACTCTTCAAAATTTGTATTAATGGCTTGGATGCAAAGGTATAGAGAATGTTTATTGAATTTTGTTAACACAAAATCAGCTAAAGACAAATAAAAATTAAAATAGTATTGTTCAGTTAAAATGGGCCAAAAATTATAGAATAAAACTTAACATAGATAAATGCAAAACTCACTTAGGAAGCAGAAATCAAATTTACCAGTATAGAATGGGGGGACATTGCCTTGACAATAATATTTATGAAAAAGTTCTTAGAATAGTAGTTGATTACAAATGGAGTACCACAAAGGATATTCTTAACCCAGGGATATGACCAATATCCCTACGAAGACTTCTAAAATAGCTGACCATATCACCACTGGAAAACACATCTGGAAAACTTTTGTACTTTTATTGGTTTTATAATGTTTAGTAAAGATATGCATTGACTTCCAAATCAGAGTTTTACAAATCTCTTCTATTAAAGAATTCCTCTGGAAAGTTGCTGAAGCTGCAGCCTCTGAATGTGCTTTGATGCCCCCATGGTGGTTGCATTCCCAAAGCCACATAAACCTTCATGATACACTCTTCCAACCATGAAAATTATGTGCAAGTAAAGCTCAAAGGGGGAATCCCAAAAATGCAGTCAATATCCAATTTAGTTTCTAAGTAATGAATGGATGAGCCCTAGAACTAATCACTGCCACTCCTTTCAAAAACCGTTTGATACTTTTCTTGGTCCTGATAACCAGGACCAAGAAATCAGATCTTGTTATATCATCATCATACCCTGAAGGCAAGCAAAGTCCATTATATTCATCAGCTCTTTATCAGAATGGAAGGCACCAACCTGCAGAATCTTTTAAGTATCTGTCAAAAAAATCTTGACCTGACTGGCGTCCAGAACTATATCCAAATGCTCTAGGCATCGTAATGTTCTTAAAGTGCTCTTTTGCAGATTCACCACAAAGCTGTACTCCTTCAAGGAAACTAAAGTGGTATGTATATTGTCTAGGAACTTCTGTCCTGAACATCATATCAAAATCTCATTTAAGTATGATAATAGGCACAGGTGACCCATTAGAGCCACTAGAACTTTTTGAATATCCAAGATGCTGAGGTTAGTTTCAATGATAAAACCCTGTAGTGATAGCAATCTCTCATAATCTGCACAAATTCCAGAAAACAGCACCTGGCCATTGTTTTTCTCACCTGTCCAAAGTTGTCTAGAACCAAGTACTGGAAATTCCCATCAATCATCCCTGAATAGCTTTGGCCACAAGAGTGTTTTTCCCCCCATCCAGACGCTTGGAGAATTTTGAAACCCATGTCCACATTCCAATTGCAGAGATTCTTCACAGCAACAGCATTTACTACTATAGAAAATGCCTCAATCTGAAATATGTATAGAACGGATTCACACAGAAGGGAAGTTGTGCAAGAAATTTTCTTGAACCCATTCTTTGCCTGTTTGGGAAGATTATCCAAACTTACTAATTTCCTTGCTCAAACCTGCGTCATTCTTCCAAAGGAAGAGTTAGGAGCTGATGTATGAAAGGCTGCTGCCAAAGCAAAGCTTTATATAGATTTGGGTACTAAGCCCAACTCTTAGAGATACTAATCTAAAAATTGCTACCATTTAAATATCATTTAATACACCACAGAATAATATGTGCTATGTGAGGATGTTTTACTTTTTTGATGCTGCAAAATAAAATGCTCTTAAATAGAGAGCAGTTTTTACAGATATGATAAAAATTAATAGAAAGAGCCAAATAGACAGATTTATCCAATGCATCTAACAGACAAATAATACATTCAGCTTCTATTCAATGACAGCTCTTTTAAGAACTCACTTTATCAGAAGGCTTTACAGGAGGGATAAATTCAAGGGTAAATTCGTATTGCTATGGCTATAACCTTAAGAGCCCTTCCAATGGTAAGCACATGATTTTACCAGCAATCTAGATAATTCAAATAAATGAAACCATTTGACTGCATTTGGGAGCTGGGGGTAGAGTTAAAGTAACAATATACTATTATCTCATTTACTCAATTTGTTATCACATTTACTATGTCCCCCTTTGGTACAAAAAAAAGTAGCTTAAATATACAATGTGTACATGCACTAATGGAACACTGGGTTTCAATTTTTCACATGACCACATTTTGAGCATGTACAATTTCAACTAGAGATACCTTTTGTAGTGGATCAGCATTAATTTTCCCTAAAGCTTGTGAAATGAAGAAAATTACTCGTTTTTCAAACTACATTCTTTTCCAATGAACAGATGACGGCAGCTTCCCAGCTACAGAAATGTTTTCAAACACAAGCAAACTTGCAGATTCCCTACCTGCATGCTGAATTGGTTATGCCAGTTATACCCTACAATAAATGTGATATTACTCTAGATATTTTACACTGAATAAAATTCAAATAAAATTTAAGAAAAGCTAAAAAACAGACATATACCACTGATCCTATTACACATTGTTGTTACAAAGTGAAGGAACAACGTGAGATTTTATTGTTGGTCTTTATAAATTGCACTGCAAGTAGCTATTCAGAACACCAATGCATTTCATTTCAGCATCGGAGAAGCAAAAAAGTTTCCTTGTCGTCCAAGATTTGTTGCAGACTTGCTTTTGCTTGTAAATCTAGGAAATAAGTGGAAAGATTCATCATTAATAGTTTTCAGTGTGTCTTAACATTCACTCGGTAGAAAAATACCTTTTACTCTTGAAACATGACTTTGCATGTCTCTCATTAGTATCTGCTAAACAATGACCCACATTTCCACTTTTCTTGACCACTGAATAGCAGTGCTACATACAAAAAACATACAACTCAAATTGATTGAAGATTAAAAATTGTAACCATTTGAGCTGAAGTTCTTTTGGAAGCATTCACAACCAATATGTTGTGCCTTTGGAATATTTTTTTTCCTCTGGATATGAATCAATTATTCCTCATATTCTGTTCCATCTCAAGTTATCTCACCAATCTTCATTGCCCAGTACTCAAAGCATGTATTTAGAAACTGATTACAGCATTCCTTACCAAAAATATTTTTGCTCTATTACCCACCAACTGGTGATCAGCTGCTACACAAACTCAACTTATAGCTCTAGAACACTAAGTAGGATAAAAGAAAACATACTTCGCTAATTTATGCTATGACTGTAATAAATATTTGATTTGATACTTTGCTAATTAGACCAAATAAATAATTATACTTACTTGGGTGTGGTTTTGCTAAACGTAGATTTGACTTTTTGAGACAGTGAGCTGCTTGAAGGAGTTTTTACCAGTTGCTGTTCTGGAGTGGTGAGTGGTCCTAACATGCTCACTTTGTGATAAGAACAACACAGGCATCATACTACAGTTAACATTCTTAAGTCACAATATTTCAAACAGCTTCAGCATTATGCATTATAAGTAAAATGATGAAAAGTCTTAATGAATGGAGAATTATTTATTTTCTCTCTCTCAAATAATAACACAGTTAGAATGAAGTGGCATTTCTGAATCTAATTCTTACTGCCAAGTTTTCATCCTTTGCTCAAAAAATAAGCCTAAAGTGTAAATAACTTGTTCATACTATTAGAAGTGAATACGTGTAGCTCAGGGTTGAACTGTGGAGTCCTTGGGGTTCTCTA